CTTAAGCCACTGTGCAATGTGGCCTCACAGCTGCTGTAGCCTGGAACAGCCTAAACTTAGAGCCTAAAAGCACTAGGAGCTCAAACCTAGGACGCCAACTCCCGACTTCTTTTTTCTCAGTCCAGTATATCCAACTGCACCTGGACACCTCCACTTGGATGGTTCACAGGCTTCTCAGACTGAGCACAGCCAGGTGTGAACCCATCATTCTCCCCCTTGCCCCAAACCTTGTTTTCCTCCATGTGACCTTCATCCTTAGGCCCTTCAGGTCCAGTGGAGGGAGAGACTAGAGATGTAAGGTTGGGAAGGGACAACCAAGAGGTAAGGCGTGAGGCAAGAGGAGGGAAGGTTGGATGAGACAAGTTGAGGTGGAGACAAAAGAATATTCATTTTGTTATTTAGTAAATATTGCTATATGCTCAGTTGAGTTCTAGGCATTAAGGACACAAAAATGAATCAGAGACCATGTCTCCCCTCAAAAATCTCTCCATATTGTTGGGGGGTGGGGTGGGAAGTATAGGCAGTTACAGTATGGTGGGGTACATACTATATTGGGAGGAGCTGAAGGTCATGGAAGCTTCCTGGAGTAGTTGGAGCCTGAGGTGAATATTAAAGGATGTTTAGGAAAGGAGTGCAGTGACTTACTCAGGCAAAGGTAACAGCATGAGCAAAGGCATAAGTAAAAAAAATTTAAAAGGTCGTATGTATGGGATGCTACAGGCATTTCCATGTTAATGAAGTCAAAAGCCCAAGTAGGACATGGTAGGAGATGAGGTCTGAGAAGCCGGCAGGGGCCAGGTCAGTCAGGGCCTTGGCAACCAGACCCAGTAATTTGGGCTTTGCCCTGATGTCTGACAGATTTTAAGCAGAATAGTGTCAGGGTCAGATTTGAGTTTTAGAAAGATCATGGTGACTGTGGGTGGAGGATGAAGCTGGAGTAAAATGAATGATCTTCCTCTCCAATACTGCTCCTCCCCGGTCCCACTCTCAGTCAGTGGCTCCCCATCTACCCTCTTGCTCAAGTCAACAAGGGAATCATCTCTGACTAGCACCTTCCCTCACCTTTCATGTCTATTGTCAAGACGTCTGGTTTTTATCTCCTAAAGCCTCTCAAGTCTGTGCCCTTTTCTCTGCCTTCTGCTGGTGCTTTTCACTTCTTACCTGCATTTTCTAAAATCTGCCATCTGTTCCCCTAGACTCTTGTTTCACCCCTCTGTCCTCACTGCCGCCAAGGTGGTCATTGTTAAAAAGAAACATGACCATTTCACTCCCCTTAAGGCTCCCATCGCCCTCAGACTCCTTAGCAGCATACACGGGCCTCTAGCAGCTGGCCTCTGCTGACTCAGCAGGCTCTTTTCATGTCTCTTCCATTTTGCCCTTTACTTGCTTCTCCCAGGTGCCCCTAACTGCCAAGCCCACACACATTAGGCTGTTTTTCTCCCACAGCTGTGTTGGTATTGTCCTCCCTGCCTGGGATTCTATTACCCATCTTCCCTTTCTAGTTCACTTTTACTTAACCATAACCCTGAAGCAGGCTTCATTTACCCCTTCTCTGACGAACTCTTGTTCGTCAGTTGTCACTTGTTATATACCCCAGGCATACTTCCATCATCAAACTCACCACTGCACTAAAATTATTTTTTCAGCTGGACTGTGAGCTCTGAGGGGCTAAGACCCCTCCCTATCTGTCTTATTCAGCACTGTGTCCCCAGCACACACATAAGTATTTGTTGAATGAGTGAATAAACAAACGTCTTCCTCACTTGACTGTGAACTACTTGAGAGCAGGATCTGGGGGAGCTGCAAGTCCCAGTGTCACCACTGGGTGGCAGTAGTGCTTCAGACAAGAGTCGCATGGTTCTAAGGGGTTCTTGGGCCTTTTTCCAGGTATTTAGCCATCTGCCCTACTCCAAAGTTGACCTAAGGACTCCACAGAAATACTTACATGTGGGCCCTTCACCTTAACCTCGGGGGCAGGAGAGTGTCCTGCTACCAAGGCTGTGGAGCTGAAGACGTAAAGTTGCTCTTGGAGTGAATCAGGGACAGGCTATGGTCCCAGAGCCTGCTAGGGCCTCTGGTCAAGCAGACAAGTCTTTCCTCACTCCAGGCTGCTGAGGGACAGGCAGAGAGGATTTGCTTTTGTCCAGCCCAGGGATAGGCAATTAACAGAAGGGGCTGTGGGCACAGGGGCCTGGAGCCTGCTGGACATGACCTGATGTGGGCATGCCCCCACTGTGTCCCTCTGTGCCAGCAGACTGTGCAGGTACCTGTGTATTCAGAGCAGGAGTATCAGCTCTATCTCCATGATGACGCTTGGACTAAAGCAGAAACTGACCACCTCTTTGACCTTAGCCGCCGCTTTGACCTTCGTTTTGTAGTTATTCATGACCGTTACGACCACCAGCAGTTCAAGGTGAGCTGATGTCATGCATTTGCATCTGTGCCCAACCCCCAGGCCTGCTAGGACCTCTCTTTGTGCCATCCCCTCCACATGCTCCGAGTGTTCATCCCTCTGCCCCGTGTTGATCCTCAGAAGCGTTCTGTGGAGGACCTGAAGGAACGGTACTACCACATCTGTGCCAAGCTTGCCAATGTGCGTGCTGTGCCAGGTACAGACCTCAAGATACCAGTGTTTGATGCTGGGCATGAACGACGGCGGAAGGAACAGCTGGAGCGTCTCTATAACCGGACTCCAGAGCAGGTTAGCCCTGAGCCCCGTACACCTCTCCTCCATGCCTAAACCCCCTGGCCCCATTTCCCCATCCTCCATGCCCTCAAACCCCCAGATCCCTCTACCTCCCACTGGGACCCCCATTACCTGCCCATTCCTACCCTCACTGGCCACCCCCTGCTCTCCATAGCTGTTCACCTCCCTCACCATCCCTTCCTTCTCAGATTCCCTTACAGACAGCCTAGTGCCCCTTCACCTTCTGTCTGTCCACACCTGCATGTGTCCTCACACACTTAGCATCTCTCACTTAACCAGGTGGCAGAGGAGGAGTACCTGCTCCAGGAGCTGCGCAAGATTGAGGCCCGGAAGAAGGAGCGGGAGAAACGCAGCCAAGACCTGCAGAAGCTGATTACAGCAGCAGACACCACTGCAGAGCAGCGGCGCACGGAACGCAAGGCCCCTAAGAAGAAGCTGCCCCAGAAAAAGGAAGCTGAGAAGCCGGTGCGGAGGCTGAGGGTTGCCTGGCACAGGGCCCCACCTTGAGCAGGGGCTCTGAGAGCACCCAGAGCGGGTGGGGTGCTGGGACTAACCCTGGGCCCCCTCCCCATGACACCTTGGTCTCCTTAATTCCTTCTCTCCTAGGCTGTTCCCGAGACTGCAGGCATCAAGTTTCCAGACTTCAAGTCCGCAGGTGTCACGTTGCGGAGCCAGCGGGTATGTGAGTCACCTCCTTTAGCGTGTTTGGGCCTTAGGCTCTCTGCTCTGGGTCCCAGGTGGCCTGGATACTGCAGGAAGGTGGTGCTAGAGCAATAGGAGAGGTTGCTGCAGGTAGAGGTGGCTTTGCCAGTATCTCAGGTGGATGTGGCTAGGCTGAGGTCACAGCTTTCATTGTATTCTACTTCCTGGCTGTCTTCTTTTCTGGACCATAGCTTACCTTCATGGGTTACCTTCTCTCTTCCACCACCCCACTGCCTGTAGTCCCTTTCATTTAAGCCTCTTGTGGGAAAGAGGGCTTAGCTGCCTGGGTCATTGCAGATGAAGCTGCCAAGCTCTGTGGGACAGAAGAAGATCAAGGCCCTGGAACAGATGCTGCTGGAGCTTGGTGTAGGTGAGTGTGGGGACTGGGCCATGCAGCATGTACCCACCCAGGGCTGTGGACAAAAGCTGGGTGGGGGAGGGCAGCTGATATTGCTGGGCTCCCACCACACCTTGGCTCTGCCCCTATGCTGTCTACCCACCCACCTGTAGAGTTGAGCCCAACACCCACAGAGGAGCTGGTGCACATGTTCAATGAGCTGCGAAGTGACCTGGTGCTGCTCTACGAGCTCAAGCAGGCCTGTGCCAACTGCGAGTATGAGCTACAGATGCTGCGGCACCGGCATGAGGCACTGGCCCGGGCTGGCGTGCTGGGGGGCCCTGCCACACCAGCATCAGGCCCAGCCCCAGCCTCTGCTGAGCCAGCAGTGCCTGAATCCGGACTTGGCCCTGACCCCACCAAGGACACCATCATTGATGTGGTGGGTGCACCCCTGACACCCAATTCGGTAAGAGCCTGGACAGGCTGGGAGAGCACGCCCTGACCCTGCAAGTGAGCACATGCACTTGTGTGTACAGGCTCCACTCCCTCTGGTACCTGCAATGGGAACAGTCACCTGTGAGGGTCTGACACTGAGGGCTGGAGTGGGTTGATCAGTGGGCATCATCTTTCCTGGGAGTGTAAAACACACCAAGCCTGACTCAGGCCATGTGAGCCACTGACCTCAACACCTTCTGTCTCCTTAGAGGAAGCGACGGGAATCAGCCTCCAGCTCATCTTCTGTGAAGAAAGCCAAGAAGCCTTGAGAGGCCACGTGGGGTGTGGGTGATGCTGTTGTGTAAACAGAGCTGCTGACTTGGACTGGGCTGCTGCCTTTTCCTTTCTACCACTTCTGACGCCCCTGGGGGGTGGGGGGGGTGGGCCAAGAGGGGATCAGCACAGACACGGCATGAGTTGGTCGTTGGGGCTTGCCTGTGAGCAGCCCTCAGACCACTAACCACTACCAGTTCTACTCAAACCCTTGCACCCTGGAGCACCCATGGCTTTACACTCAAGATGACTTCACACACAGCAGTGGCCTCGGATACCAGCAGCTTTGAGCACAGCCTCATGCTCAGACAGTCCCCACACTCCCACAGATGAGTGCATATTCAGGGAGGGTGTCATAGTCACTGTACTGATGGCTGGTCACACACTGATGCCCATGCAGAAGCAGCTTGGAGCACACTCTGCCTGCCTCCACATCTTGACAGTGTTAGGCACAGCAACAGCCTTACACAACAGACGGCTTTGCACACACACCCAGGGCCTCATTTCCCCGACTTTATTCAGTGGCACGTTCACAGCGGGGAAGGGGTTAGACACAAGGTGGGGCCTGACCTGTCCTGGAGCCCTGGGGGCACCACACACCATGCACTATGGATGGGAGGGGGCACAGGGGGGCTTGGTGGCCCCAGCAGAAGCCTGTGTACCAGGGAGGAGGCAGTGAGTGCCTGGGTCCCACTAGCCCAGGCCCATGTGGGAGGGGCTGATACTGGGCTGAGATTGAGGGGTGGGGATGGGGAGCACAAAGTGTCTGCTCAGAGGGGCCAAGTGGCCAAGCCCTTGCCCAGGGCACAAGCCCACAGGGCAGCTGGGGGACACTCTGGACGCAGAGCTGTGCCACTCTCCCTTTTCCCCTCTGGTGAGGGAGAGGAGGATTCTGGGCTGGGCCAAGCAGCTACCCTGTCCTGCCCCATCCTGTCCTCGGCCAATCAGAATGGCTTTGATGTTTGCTTGAAGATGAAGCCTCGATATGCGAGTGTCTTCATGATGTTGGCAATATTCTTGCAGTCATCTAAAAAGAGGAAAAGACATTTAGATGAGCCCCAAATCTTTCCCCTCCATGCCCATAGGTGTCCTTACAAGGGTGGGGGTGGGAAGCAGGGTCAGATTTAGGAGCCACAGGCTCTAGGGAAGGGGATCCCATCCCCTGGTGGCAGCATCTCCAGCTTCAGGTTGAGCTGGGTGATGCTGGGCCAGCAGGAAACCTGGTCTTGTTGATTCTCAGTCCCATAATTCATGCTGGAAATTGGCCGGCGTGTCCCACCCCGGCCCCAGTGGTGATGTATGGGCGCCGTCGCAGTAAGAAAAAGGCAGAGTAAATGTGTAATTTCTCCCTTGACGGCCCCCGGCCGCTGGGCGATCCTTCTTGTTGCTGCCGTGTGGGGACGGCCTGTCCGCCACACTCCGTCTTCCGCCACCCGCCTTGATGTCTCCATTTCATTACTGTGCAGCCATTCATCACGCCCATGGCCAGGGTGACTTTGCCAGCACTTGCGCATGTGTGGGAGATGTGGCCTGGGCTATAATCACTGGTGCCAAGGCCCAAGCCTTGGCACTGCTGGGCCAAGGCCCTGGGAAACACACCTGCCTCGTGCCCCAGGCTTGTGTTCTCATGTAGCAACTTGCCTGGGCACCTGGTCCTGTACAGCCTCAGACAGGTTGGGGAGGGCCCAGATTTGGGATCCCCTGCACAGCCCTGGCCAGCATCCCTCTACTGGGCACGTGTGTACATGAGCCCAAGCCCTGCCTCTGTCCTAGTAGTCTCGAAGCTGGGTGCTGGTTGCCTTCTTGGGCTCTGCCTCTGCCCGTGCCTCAGGTTAAATATGTCTGCGTGTGCCAGACACTATCACAAGCAGTTTCTCCAGTATTGGTCCCTGTGAAGAGTTCAGTGCTCTCAACTGTCCTAGAACCCCAGAGGCTGCAGGAACAGGCACTCTGGGGCCTCAGTATTAGGGACACAGGCCAGGACTTGTTCCACTACCACCAGCAGGAGGTGCAGCTGCCCAGAGCTTGTCCACTAGAGTAAGTCTAGGACAGAAACAGCTTGAGTGCCTGGGTTTTTCTGTTCAGCTGCCCAGAGCAGTCACCAACTCGCCATCCCCTCACCTGTCTCTCCTCCCATTCCTTTTCCACCTCACTCAAGATGATCCTGGGCCATAACCAAGGCCTCAGTCACCACCAGCCCTCATGGGATCGATGCTGTGATTGCAGAAATATTGTACATCGATGTCATAATCAAGTGTGGGGGGGTGATGGTAAGGTCAAGGTGGGGTCAGGAGGCCTCTTCATCTGTCAAGGACCCCTTCCACTGAGCCCCCAGGCCCGCCCTTGCCAGGCCCATTTTCCTCTAGGTAGAAAAGGGTTGTGGGAGGAGGCATCCCTGGTCAGCCCGGTACCTGTATCACTAGCCAGACAGCAGCTCTGCAGATTCTGCTTAGGGTAGGCAAGTCAGACAGGGTCCTGTTTCACAGAGCTCAACACGTATTTACCTGTGGTGGGTGTGGGCATGGAGAGGTGACACCTTGTTCCCCCAGGGACTCAGGAAACCATGAGGGGTGGTCTGAGGCAGAATGGTGGGAAGACAGATGTGTGGGTAGTGGCGGCCATGGCAACTCCAGACGTGACCCATCCCCGAGGTTTATGGGCCGGACACGCGTCCCGCTCAGCTGAGGCCCCGTCATTTGTCTCCCTTAGTGTGTATGCCTGTGCTGTGGGGTTGAGGGTGGAGAAGGGAGGGGGCTGCGACAGGAGGAGCTAGGCAGTTGACAGGAAGGGGAATGGGACAGGAAGGGGCCTGAGAGGCAGAGGGGTATTGATGGGGCACAGGGGCTGTGATGGCCTTGTTGGAGGGGCTATGATATGGTGATTTTCTTCCCAAATAAGCCTGGCCCTGTCAGGGCACCTCCAATCCTTCTTGTCTCCTGCACTCTGGGGACCATGGCTGCTGTACATATTAAGAATAAGTCCCCTCGTTATCTGCAATTACCCAGCGGCCACACACCTCATTTCTTCCAGCAGAAAAGAAAATTAGTTTTCTATTGACTTCATCTGGCTCCTCCCTCATTGCTGGGCAAATTGTTCAATCTGCCTTCCCTGGCCCAAGGGAATGTCCCAGCCCTAACCCCCAGGCCATCAGTGGGCAAGCAGTGATCTTCCACCTGTGCCTGGTCCTGTGCTGGGAGAGGGTCCACCTGCCTAGTCTCTGTCCTTGGTTCTCCCCACTCTATACACTGGATGACAACACCCAAACCCCGAGCTTCAGCTACCCCTGAAGATCACCATCTCCAGCCTGGATCTCTCCTGAGCTCCAGACCACATATTCAAATGCCTCCAGAACACCCCTTTCTAGATGCACGAACTCAAAATGTCCAATAATGGACTTATTTTCTCCCCAACCTTCATCCCAGTGAATGGCACCACAATCCACCCAAAATGCCCAAAGAAGAAACCAGAATCATACTTGACACCCTGCCCTCCCCTCTACTCCCCAAATCTAATCAAGTATGAACTTCAGTGGATTTTATCTTCTCACTCTCTAATCATCCACTTCCTTTCATTCCAGCAGCCAGCCACCCCACTAGTCCAAACCCCATCATCTTTTTTTTTTTGGCAGGGGGATATGAACCCTTGACCTCAGTGTTATAACACTGCATTCTAACCAAATGAACTACATGGCCAGCCCTCCATCATCTCTTGCTTGGATGACTACAACAGCCTGTCCTGTCTTCCTCCCTCTGATCCATTCTCCTGTAGCCAAAGTGATCTTTCTTACACATATCTGATCATATCCTTCCCTCTTTAAATCCTCTCAGTGGCTCTCTTTGCCCTCAGCTTAAAGTCTATACTCTTTAATATGACTTGAAGTCTCTTCAAAAATTGATCCCTGCTATCTCTGGTCTCACCTCTGCCACCCCCAATCCCTGTACTCCAATCTCAAGGAACCACATACTGTTTCCTGAAAATGACAAAGTGGGTTTTGGAGTCAGACCTGTCTCCAGTTTTAACTTCACTCAGTGGCTGCATGACATGCGGCAAGTGCTTAGTTTCCCTAAACTTCAGGTTCCTCCACTAGGGGTGACAATGGCCTCAGCATTATTGTGAGGATTGAACAAGGTGACACACCCACACGTCTTTGCACATGCTGTTCTTTATGCTTGGGATACCTCTTCTCTTCCTGAAGACAAGGATGCTAGTTTTCTGGTTTTCTCACCCAATGGCAAGAAATTGTATACTGTACAATCTATGCCACAGAAGACAGATAGGGGCCAGCACACTTGATGAAACCAATCGTCACTCACTCCAAAACTCTCACTGACTACTGATGCTGTTTACTGGAGATTCTGGAGTCTAACTTGTTGCAATGGGTCCACTACAAAAAAGAGACTCACAGAGAGGAAGAAACTTGCTTCGGTTCACCTAGCCAAGTCAATGGAATGGCAGTTATGGGCTTCCAGCCCAGTGCTCTTTTTCCTGCCCTTGAAGCCTTGATAAGAGTAAATGCAAACTACTGATCAGTTAAAAAAAAATTAATTTAATTTAAAAAATTCAATGGCACAGTTAGAAGGTGAGGGAGCTTGGCAGAGGAAGCACCAGAGACAGATCTGGGGCTTTCAATAGGCCAAAAGTTCTGAGAGGGACAGCAGCAGGGTGAGCCTGGTGACAGCAGAGCATCTTCAAGAGTCCTCTCCTTGAAGCTCTAGGGCTACCTTGGTTAGCAGCCTCCAATTCTGGCACCTCTCACTGAGCTAATGAAGCCAGCCTGGAGCTGCTATGGGGTGGGGGTGAGGAGCACAGCATGTGCCCTTAATGGAGGCCTCCAAGAGTAGGTCTCCCTCACCTTCAAATTCTAGAAGCCTAACCCGTTTTTATGTTTCTGCAGGGTCAACTTGTCACAAGATGACCCCCTTCTTTTTTGAGCATTAATATTCGTAATGTTAGAAATACTTTTATATTGCCCAGACTATAATGTGATGGGTGCAGCTGCATAAATTCTTCAGAGAGGAAATAAGCTGGGCTAGCTGCTAACAAGGAAAAATACACATGTTGGCTGGGTCCAAGGGTAGTCAAATACATGCTTGGCAAAGGGGCTGCTAGTGGGTAGCTGAGATAGCTTAGGACACCCAGTGAGAGCTCAACCCAGTAAGGCAAACACCTGAGGCTGACATGCTCTAGTAAGCTGCACTTGTCTGGGAACTGAGCAGTAAAGGATAGGAAGCAGGACCTGGGTCAGGGAAATCCTCAGGAAACAAGGGGCCCAAGAAACTCTTGCAGGGCCATTCATTCATGCACATATCCATTCAGCAAACACGCACTGACACCTTCTTCATGCACGAGCCATGCTGGGTCTGAGGGATGTGCAAGACTCTATAGCTTCCTGCCCTCAAGGAGCTCAGAGACAGTTCTGCAAAGGGTGCAACGCTATGAGAAAAGAAGGCATGGAAAAGTCGCCTAGTCTGTCTGAGGATCAGGCAATGATTCCTGGAAGAATGAAGTTAAGCAGAGGTCTTAGAAGATGTGGGAGGGAGCTAGCTTGGCAATTTAGGGTTGAGGTGAGAAAGGTATTCTCAGCACAGTGAATAGTATAGGAACATTTCTGGAGGTGAAATGTAGTGTCCAGAAAAAACAGGTTTAACAGGTGGTGGGGGGTGATGAAGAATAAGAAGCAAGGAAGTGGCAAGAGATGAAGCTGGCAAATTCAGTGACTGACTAGAGGAAATCCTGAGGAACCCACATGCTAAGATAAGGAGTTCCAGATTTTCTTTTTCTGGGAATAATGGGGAGATGCTACCATGTTGAGGAAGGGGAATGAAAGGATCAGATCTGTGTTTCAGAATTATCATCCTAGAATGTAAAGATATCCTGAAGATAGAGATCAATACTATGCTCCAGGCCAGAAATGGTAGCCCGGAACTAGGCCAGTGACAGCAGAGAAGGAGATATACTGATGATGTGGAGAAGTGAATGGAGACAAGAGAATTTTTAGGAAAGGGAATGAGTAAGCCTCAATGAGGG